GCAAGATGCAACATTCCCACAACGTGTCAGTAGATGGCAAAAACCTACAACCTTTGCACTATCCAAGGAATCAGCATTTCTCCTGCTCCTGCGGGAAAAGGAGCTTTCATGGGTAACCTACCCCTAGGCCCAGGATCCTTGCAGTAAACTGTCAGGAAGAAGGGGACATCCCAGAAAGGCAGCATCCAGCAGGGCCTGCAGGGCAAGATACCTGGAAGAGAAACAGGATCTGGGAGGAGAAATATGGGAATGGCAGGAGGAACTGCCCAAAGACCCCAAACAGTTTTGCAATCCAAATAATCCCTTCTGGGGAAAGGAGAGAAAAGCTCCTGAAGAGCCACCCCAGCCTGCTGGGCAGTGTGCCTCAGGTTTCCTCTTTATTCATCTTGTGGCCTCTGCACCATCATCTGGAGTCACTGCTTCCAATGTGGGGGTGCAGATGGTTTAGGGCTGTGCTAATGCTGCATAATCTGAAGGTACTGCCTTAGACAACCCCAAACTTGCTGAGGTTGATGTTTTTCAACCTGGTGATAATACTTCAGTCTTCATGTACAAGCCGAAACGGAGCTGCTCAAGTCGATATACTTGGGCTCTTTTCTCTTGCAGCTTTGTGCAAGAAGCTTGTGACAGTCCCAGGTGCCTGCCCCACACCTTCGAGCGAGTCGCTGGAGATTTAATCTTTAGGAAGGCTAGCGAATATATCCCAGTGTCTTTGATGATGGTGTTCCTGCTTTCGTGTGTGTGCATGTGTGTTTTGGGAAAGAGGGGGATGTTGCCCGATGCTGAAGACTTGCATTCCTGAGGAGCTCCAATACTCTAAGCACCAGCTGGGGCAGAGCTCAGGAAGAGGAGATAATCTCATTAATCCAGGCTATTTGGTGAGATCCAGTTAGTGTGGCTTTGAGCGTTGTTCAACTCTATTTACTTAACACCTTTCTTGAGTAAGTGTAAGTAACCCATTTTCCAGCTCAGGAGCAATCGTAGAGCTGTTGTAGCAATGGCAGCATTAGCCCTAAGTTCTGTGAAGCAGCGTCTGCTGTCTGCAATGCAGAGGCAAGGTTCATCCACATTTCCAGTCACGAGCTGCAGGTTTCATTGGAAATAACTTTGCCAGGCATTAGCCACCAGTGCTGATGTTGCCCAGCTGTAAGAAAACCAGTTCAGCTAATCCTGAGCTAGAGGACAAGGAACTTAGGTTTCTTTTGCCATGTCACCAACAGCTGCAAAAGCATCTTACACCCATTTCACTGGGAAGATCAAGTGCCCTTGTGCTTCAGGGCAGCAGGCTGTCCTAACAACATCTGCTCTTGCTTTAGGGCCAGGCCATTTGCTGATACCCTGCCGTAAACTGAATAAAATCTCTGTTCCTTGGAACTGGATGAAAAATGACAACATTGATTCTTTGAAGGTGCTGCATCGAGGCTGAGCATCCTGCATCCCAACTCTAGTTCCTCTGTATAAGCTGATCACAAGCACCATTATAGCTGGTGCAGAGAGCATGTCCTCTCCAGAGAGCATCCATCCCATCTCGAGATGGGGGAAATGTCACCCCCTGCAGATGTCTCTTAGAATTAGGTCAGTCAAATCCCACTCTATTTCCATGCATATTGCACCCAAAAAATTCCTCTTCTCAGGGTCTAGTTATTACCCTTTAAAACCCATCCTGCCCCAGGGCTGCCAGATAGACCATCCCACTCATGCACCTGAAGGAGGAAACATCTGGAGTGTCTTGGTCGCAGGTACTGACCGTACATGTTGACTTCAAATGATGGTCATTTGCACTAGGAAATCAAGTTTCATTTGGTCCATGGAGATAATTACCAAGTGCATTTACAAATGCATTTCTGTACTACAGTAGGCCATAACTTCTCTTTCAGCCAGTAGTGCTGTGACCAGAGAGGTTATTTGCTAAATGAATAAGTAGTTGTTGCTCCTGCTAATGCAGAGTCTGCCCCATTGCACGATTTCTCCTTGTAAAAAATCATTGCACGGAGGGATGCACAAACTTACAAATATGGCCTCAATATAGATGCACCCTCTTGATATTGGGGGTCAAGGCAGAGGGGCTCAGCCGCAACAGAGATACTGGTTTCTGTTGCTTATGAATTGCATTAAATCTTTGTGGGATCAGTGCCACAGAGTAGCTGGCTACATTGAGTGGCAAATTTCATCCTCCAGATAGCTGACTATAATGACACACTCTTAAAATGATGAGATGGAAATAAGCATTCGAAAGTGGGAGCTGTTGAAAGGCAAACATTTCTGTAAAATCTTCACTGCTGAGTTGCAGCACATCAATTTTTTTCCCCACTTCTGTGATTTGTAATTTGTAGAAAAGTCGAAACCTCACCTGTAGTAATAAAGACAACGCTTCCATTTCCAGTCTCTGGAAGGATGTTAGAAAACATTAGAGGAGAATGAGTTGCTGTCTGCTTCTCTGTGGGTTATGATGAATTAATACAATTGAAAGCAGCATAATCAAACAATTTGGAGCAGCAGAAGTAGAAAGCAGGGTTGCTGTTTTTATTGCCTCCATAAGAGCAAATTTCGTGCACTCTAATTTGATAAATTAATGCTCAGAGTCTCTTCTCTGTGCAGTGCGTGATAGGGATTGACTGGTCCACGTACTCTTCTCTGTGTGCAGCACTGTTCCCGCACACTGGCAACATCACCATTGGAAAACTAATCAACTCTATTGGAGATAAATTGCATTCTCACCAATTATAGCTTAATTGTTGGCAGATGGGAACACAGAAGGGAGATATGTCAAACCATTAAGAGGACAGGTGTATAGACAAGTGCCAGATTAATTGTTACAGCCCATTAAATCATTGACCTTTGCAGCATACCCTCAGCATCGAATTCAAAGCTCTCCCAGCACTTGCAGATCATGCATGATGACCATGTTTATGAGCAAAGTTCTCAGGGGCATTTTTTAAAAATGCAGAATCCAGACACAGTCTCATTAGCCACTAGCAGTTCTCCTTTCTCATTAAAATCAATTTGGTTATTTCTCCTTCTCGGTCGTGGGGCTTGTTTTCTTGGCCTTTCAGTGAAATTACATGTGGCTTTCTCCAAAGAGCAGTTTCCTCCATGAAGTTTGCAGATATGCTGGAATGGGCCATGCATGCTGACATGCAACCAGGACACAGAAGCTGGGCAGCTGTGCTAGAGGCTCCAACGTAGATTCTGGGTTTTGGCTGGGATTTCCAGGTCCTGCTTCGCCTATTTTTTTTCAATGGCCCTGGCAGAGGCAAAAAAACCCTCAGTAATTCCCACTGACACCAAGCCATGGGATTCTACTTCCCCTCATTATGCATAAAAATGTCTCTCCTGTTCTTTTTCTCCACAGCCCAGGAATCTGAGGATGCCATGCAGACACATCCGAGAACTTTGTGGGAGCAAGGTCATGTTCAGAACAGTGATGCAGACTGTGGTTCACCTGACCTGAGATATCCCAGCTCTCCACTGTCCTGGAAAACTGAGAAGGAACTCTAGATCCAGTCCTTCTGCATGGCCTGCTTTGGACAAAAAATATATTTCCAGCTGCTGGAATTGAAAGCTGCTGTGACAGTAATGATATTTGTCTGCTCTCTAGTGGGTTCCTCTCTTGTGCTGAACACTTGGTGAGCGGGGAAGGAGAACGAACCTAATTCCCTTCTTCTCGTGTACTTGGAAAAGTCGCTGCAGTACCTGTTCTCCCACGCATGGATGTGGATGTGCAATGTCTACCTGGTCTTAGCTGATGGCCAGTCTAGAGGCCAACATTTAACCTAAAGAGCTTTTTCCCCTATGGTGGGTTTCAGAGAGACCGGGTGGAAAGTGACCCAGTGAGACAAGCAGCAAAGGGAAGCAAAAGCAAAGCAGGAAGAGTCAATGCCCTTTGGCATCACGACGTGCTGGGCAACTTCAAGCAGGAGCAAAATTCACACTAAGAATCAAGCAGGTCCTTCTGCCAGTGTCAGGACTGGCAGTCTGCTCCCTCCACAGCAAAATAGCTTCCGTGCATATCTGAAATCCCAGAGAATCCCCAGATGACTTATTCTGTTCCTTCATTCATGCACATCTACAGCCTGGCAAAGATACCTAGATAGAAGACAAGAGAAATGGACAACGTTGTGTCTCAAATAAGGAACAATTTTATATTGAAAAATAGAGAAATTTATGAAAAATGCAGCTTAGGGGAAACTGTAAGGGTCTCTTTGACATGTCTAATACCCTTTATGAAACTATCACACTGAATATCCTTGGGGCTGTCAGGTGGCTACAGGCAGGGAGATGCCCCATCCCGTAGATGCAGTAGCCCAGACCAGCACGTTGCTCACACAGGACACAGGGATGTGTGAGATGTTACAAACCCCTCCATTTCCACTAGTCACTGCACAGTGATGAACTTGAGCAGAGAAAACAAGTGAAGAAAGGGCAGCTTTTTCAGAAGAATATTTATAAAACTAGAGCTTAGTGCTGAAGACTGCGTGTGTATTACTGGTAGTGCCTGGTAGTGGGGGTGGAGGTGGGGATTAGAAAAACATACATAAAAGGGAATTTTAGAAATGCCAGAATATTTATCTTAAAGGTGCCCTAAGCCAATCATTTTACCTTTGCTTTTGGAAATTCATTTTTGTTGTTCAGAAAAGGACATAAGGTTTGAAAAAAGGAAAAGCTAAACAGGAAGTTCAAGTTAAATGTTCCGAAGGGAAGCAGAGCATTTCATTTCAAGTTGAACTTAATAATTGGGGTTACCCAGAACGTTTTCAAGCTTTTGGTAGTTTGTTTTGCCAACCTTCTCCCTCCACCCCTCACTTTACTGTTGCTCAGCCCAAGCCATCTCTTTTCCAGATATTTTCATTCAGTCATTTTCACTGCGTGTCCAGGAGCTCCTGTTTTTTCCCAGTAGCCCTTCCCACTGACTCCTGCTTACAGGAATTCTGCTTACTGCAAGCACCGTGTCCATACCAGCAGCATACCCAGCCAGGGGGTCACCCCACAACACGCCGCCACTACTCTTTATCCAAGATAAACTCATCAAACAGAGGAATCTTCTCTGTTTTGGTTCTCACAAGGGTCCGTCTGTGATAAAACGTCTTCCCTTCCCTTTCCCAGTCCTCTGAGCCAGTGCTGGAGCTATCCCAGAACAGGTCTCTTGCAGGCTGCTCCCGGCAGAACCACATGTCAACTTTACTCTTGCTTGGAGAAGATTCAACGCTGCTATGTTGCTCTGAATGTGATGCATTTCCACACCAGGCATCAAGAGCAAATGATGGCTGGAAACCACCTAACCAGGAACGTTTCACCCGGTTAAATATGCAACCCCAAAGGGATGGAAAGCTCTGAAGGAAATTGCCTGGCGCTGAGCAGCGGGAAGAAGTTTCCATGTGAAACTAGACCTAAAAAGTGAGTAACCTAAGTGACTGTAACATTCACCCCATGCTCATATAAGAGCAGGCACCCGTCCAGAGGCTGTAGCATGCACAGGAATCCAACAGCGCTGCGGACAGTGAGGGATTAAGCCAGGAGCAAATCTGTGACAGCTGTTCCTCATACAGCCCTTTCTCCTTTTATTGCCTGGGCCTCCCTAGCAGGGTGGATTCCTGGTGCCGTGAAAGCTGTTGGACAACTTCATTTCATCCTGGAATGTGACCAAATGGGAAATCCCCCCACCGTTGAGGGCCAGGACACATCTCCTTGGCCTTCAGGCACTCTGGTCACACATAAAGCATCTAGAGAGACCGTGGTCTGCCTAGATAACGCGTGTTGCAGGTACTGCAGGTTGGAGGAAGGCTGGGTTTTGCTAGCACATAGTTTTTACTGGAATACACGGCACCCCCCAAAAATCTGTGTTCTTCTGTCATCAATAGCAACTATAATAAGGGCAAGTTCCGTTTAGTGTGGAGCATCACAACCCTGAAGGACAAGGGTGTGCAGGGAGCGTTTGCTTATCCAGAGCTCTTCACCAGTTACAATCACCCTGCCAAGCTCTTCTGCTCCTTCTTCTCCTGCTCGTGCTCTCAGCACAGGTTGCAGTCTGCAGGTACAGGCACGGCAGAGGCCTGAAGGAGGCCACATGCAGGGATGTGCAAGTTGCTTTCCCTGTGTCAAAGGGAAAGAAGTTGATCCCTGGAAGTCCCTAAACGGCCACCACTAGCCGGGCATCTCCGTGCTAGCCCAGGGCCAGTGGGCACCGCCCTTCGGGGCTTCCTGTCTGCCAAGGAGGAGGGAAAAAGCTGACTATTCTTCCAAGCATCAGACTTGTAGGATCACAAAAAATAACTGTCAATCTCAAAATCATCCTATTTTTCCTTTTGCTGCAAAGGGAGGTGGCTTTCTTCTTTCTCCAAAGCCAAATTGGGCCACAGCTAAAGCGCTGTGGTGCAATAGCTCCTTTGAAGCCCAACCTGCCTGACGTTAGCTGACAAGCTGAGCTGGTGGTTCCATCACTTGCCCTCCTCTGCTTTACTCGGGAATCTCATAATTGTGTACACAGCAATTACTGCAGCCGCACGGCCGCTCGGCACGGCGGCATCCCGGAGCTGCCCCTGGAATGGGAATTGGCTCGGTGCCGGACGCGGGGAATCGCTGTCTTTGCAGTGGGCTCAGCTTGGCTCCCCAGCTAAACTTGTCTGTTTGCTGTAACGTATTTCTCCTGCTTGCAGGGAAATTGGGGACTTGTTTTAATCAGGACACCCTATGATCTTGTCACACTCTGCATGGATGGACGCTCGGACACGGACGTGTGTGCAGCTCGGTAAGGGGAAATCCTGCTGCAAAGATTGAACCTTAAGCCTTTTTCCTTCTCCTTAATGCCTTGGACATTAAAATTGAAGAAGCTTCAGCAATTCCCATCTATGTTTTTATATACAGCCATCTTTCCACATATGGGGCAACCCAAGGACGCTTCTGTCTGTGAACACTTGGTCTTGCAGGGACCTGGGCCTAATGACTTTGTTTTTATGCCCCTATAACATTCCAC